GGGGAAGTTGTCCTGGTAGCGTCACCAATATTTTAAATGGGGAAAAATAAAGAAGATGCGAGTTCTGCTGGATGTCAGATATCCCCCCTCTAGTGCTCAGTGCTGCAGAGGGTGTGGAAGTGTAGAGCTCCCTGAAGAATTAATGTCATTTTCAAGATGAATTGGTAGCAGCTGGAAGCAGGACATATCAAGGCTCTTGTGGAATTTGCCTGAAGTATTTTGAAGACTTTGGCAGGTGAAGGGTGCAGAACTAGAGTTTGGTTGCATCATGCTAGAGCTACGGTACCACAAAGGTGGTCCTGTTTTAATGTGCACTGTAGTCACTTAACTTTCCTTTTTTTCCCCCAAGAATGATTTTGGTTTTTAAAGCTCTATTTTATGTGCTGTAACATGCCACAGAATCTTGGCTACTGTATTTTCAAATACAAGAAATGTCCAGGATGCACACAGTAAAAGGCTGTGCTTGTTGTTCTGCCTGTTATCCCTACTTAAATTACACTGACTGTAGGCAGACTAACAAATATTTTTGACAGTGCAGCTGAGTATGTTAATGTCACTAACTTTGTTTCCTGCTCAGATAAAATGAAGTACATGTAAATCCGGAGTACAGGAAGCCCAGTGAACCCATACAGATGGATGAAATAGCTGGTTCTTAAACTATAGCAGACTGTTTAACTCTGTTTGCTTGATCAGTCAACCTCGCTGTCAAAATTGGTTTTGCTAAGTTAAACCTCATTATTCAGTTGCCTAAGCAATGTGCTCTTCCTTTAACCTCCCTAGAGTGCTGATCTGTGTTGTGTTTGGGTGAGTTGCTGACTTGCTTTTCCTCCTGCATAGGTTGAAAGAGATGAATTGATCACCAAGAGAGACAAAGTGCAGCAAAACTTGTATTCAGCAGTGGAAGAGTTCATTTTGGAAGTGGATCAACTGCCCCTTTCTGGGCGCTCAAGAATGTTACAGGTAAGGAGACTGCTTTTATCAGTATTGATACTGAAACACTGAGAACCTGTGGAGGGTGTTCCTTAAATGTTAAACGTTTTATAGTTGGAGACCTTGACGGCTGCAGGTGAAGCTTTAGAGATCACCTCTGTTAAGTTGTACATCTGATACCTGTAGTTCTGTACAGATATCTGTAGCTGTGATCCAGATTTCTTGGATGTTTTGCTTCTAGAGGCATATTATTGTCTAGGTCCTGGATTTGAGCAGCAACTTTTCTCATACAGTACTCTGTTTGGTGCACAGAGTATTTAGTAGAAGACGGGTGTTAATGAGAAGATCTGCAATTAAGAAGTCAGTACAGTTATTCTGTGAATTGCTGTGGGTATTGTGGTTGGATTATACACCTTCCTGTCTCTTTCTGTTAGGGTGGCTGTGTAGTGTGGACTAGTGTAGCAAAGTGTAAAATGTTTAAAGTGGGTTTTTTGGGGGGTTTTTTTGGCTTTTTTTGAGGTGAGAATTAAACACTAGAGAAGCGCATGTTTATACCAAGAGTCTCTCTCTCTCTCCCAGCCAACCCAGCAACAAAGTGGAGAAGTAGATGGGGAAATAGGCTCTGTAGATGCAGTGAGAACTTTTGAAGAGGACTTTACCAATAGAAACACCAACGTGGTGTTTCTGGCCTTTGCCATTAGAAATAATCTATTTTCTTCTTTTTAACTTCAGAAATACTACTTTCTTTTATTTTTGACTGTGCCAGTGTGTGTGGAGAGGGGGTAAAAAGTTTGACAGTCATTTGACAGCTTGTCTGTACAAATTCCAGAAGTGTATTTGTCTGCATATGTATGAACTTGGGTTCTTAGGAAAAATCACCATGATGACAAGGCTGCACATAAGTTTATACGAGGTTGGAGTGGCATTAATAAATTGAAGCATTCAGATATTCAGGGAATTACTTGGTTTCTAATGGAATAATTTTTCAATGCCATTAAAAAAAATTGGGATACTTTTTTTTTTCTTTTTGATTCTAGTTTGATGTGCAGGTTGGTGTCCAATTAGAAAAGATGCTGAGTGGGTAGCTTTTCATGGGTAGAAATCACTGCAACCCTGTGGATCCAGCTCCTTCAGACAGAGGAAAGTTGTGGTGTGTTCTTGTATGGGATTTTTCTGTTTGGTGATCAGGTGGGTTTGGGGTTTGTTGTGGGTTTTTTTTTGTTTTTTTTCAGTGTATATTTAAAGGTTATGCTCTGCTAATCCACTAGGTGGTAGGCATTAAGCATCTTCTAGATAATTGTACTGCAGTGAGATTATAGTAGTTTTTTGAAAATATTTGAAGTGGTACTGAAATGCTACTAGGTGTGTGAAGTGAATTTTTGTGCTGATGACCCTCTTTTGTGTTAGGAGCTAGAAGCTTGAAACTGTTTTCTAAACAGGGAAACAGAAACAGGGTTTTACCAAATATTAGTGAGAACCTTGGTTGCAACTGTATAGAGCCAAAGAGGTCATGCTGTGCTGTCCTAGAGAAATGAGTATTTTTTCCAGTGTCTCTCAGAAGAGCAGGAGCGTGGGAGCAAATTCCCCTCTCACTGAGGCTGTGTATTGCAAACCTCTCTTGTGCATCAAGCATCTCTTCTGGCTTATGTTTTATACCTTCCAATGAGAACTGTTGTTGGCCTGACCTGCAGACAAATTCAAGCAGCTTCAGCCACAGCTGGGTCCAACTGGTTAGGACCTAAATAACCAGCTGGTGGGCTCCACACTTTCCAAGTGGTAGTACTGCAGTAGTTATGAGGAACACCAAGAGAGTGTGGACATACACAAGTTACTTTAAAGCAAGCTGGTGAAGCTGCTGAAGTTAGTATGAAAAATAAGTGAGTAGAAATAGGATGTAACTTACCAGACTCTTTCCTTGAGAGCAGTCTAATGGGATGCATGTACATACTTTTTCTGGTCTGACTAGTGCTGCTGTTTTTGTTAACAGGATGTGAAACGGTTACTGGGCACTTTTCTCATTTCTGTTACCCACTTTTGGCTGTTGTTAAATGTGCGGGTTTTTTTTTTTCTCCCTCCTTCCATGTGAACCTAATTTCTCCCTTGCTGTTCCACTTTCTATCCATGTATATCTTGGTGTGTTAAAGTCCAGCTGCTCAAAATAGAATGAGAAAAATCTGTTGTGCACTTGCGTCATTTAAATAGCCTTCATAAATTTAATGCAAACCTACTTTTTGTATTTGCTCACAGGCAAGCATATTTGTACAAAGTCAGACTCTATGCTCTGTGTGAGATCCTTTTTTGCATTGCATTTTCTGGTAGGCACACTGCCACTAGATCTGAGAGGAAAGTGAAATAGAAAATTTACTTCACTGGATATAGAAAGAGGCTTTTACAGTAGAAATATTTTTGTGCCAGCAGGTAGTGCTAACTTTTTCTGTGTTAAGACTTGATTTTCATTTTTAGTATATTGCCAAAAATTCTTCTGATTTTCAAACTTGTTTTTGTTTGATTCATTTTACACACAGGAACTGTCTGCTTCTCTGACGATGGTGGATGGTCAAGGTTCTGAAGCCGATGACTCTGAGGAGGTATTTCAGCAGTTCTTTCTGTGGAAGAATATTAAAACGACGAAATTAATTTGCATCAGAAATGATACAAACATAGCTCTGCAAGTTCTTATTGACTGCTTCAGTGGCATCTTAAAGGTAAGGCAAATAGTCAATATTTTCTGCAAGTATAACTTCCATATGGGTGTGCTCTGTCGGCTCATTGTGACTGAAGTGCTTTAATCAGTCCTTTCAAGTGGCCACTGGATAGAAAGGCTTCACATTTTAAAAGATGCTATTTCATAAATGCTGCTGAAAGAGGTGATGAAAGATCACTGCAAAGAAGCAGCCAGTCTGATTTGGCATGACCTTGGTACAGATTGCAGACAAATATATAATAGAACTTTTTTCCTCATTGAAATGCTGAGTATGGAGAATTTATGCAAATAAATTGTCCGCTTCTATTTGCATGTCCTGCAATACTTCCTGCAATACCATTCTCATGCTATGTCTCTCGGTATGAGTTGTAGCAGGTTTGGAGCATTGAAATTGAGTGTTACTTGTTTTAAAAGGAGATGAATGGTGGACGTTCTGAGTTTGCTCATAAAGAAAGTGCGAAGTAGAGAGGTAACTTTGTGGCTTTCCTGTCCCTGTCCTTATTATCTATGTTTTTGCTCAGTTTAGGTCTCTTAATCTTCCTGGGAGGACTGTGAGCTGCTCTTCCTCCATGACTGCAGACCCAGCTTCCTTAATCTCCTTGTTGCACTTCTGTGTGAATGTTCTTGGTTTGTGTCAGCTAAACCTTCCTGCCCATGGGTTTTGTACGTAATCCACAAGGGTTGTGCCCTTTCATAGCAAATAGGTTTTCTGCCTTTGCATTTTGTTGTACCCAGAGCATTTACAGTGGCCAGGTGCTGTTAGGAATAAGAGTGTTCCTTGACCTGACAATGAATGCTGTACAGCAGCAGTGTAGGCTTGGTGCGTGTCATGTGCGGTGTAATGTTAATGAATCTAATTACTTGCAGATGTTTATAATCACGTCAGTTACTAGAGAGGGCAAACAAACCTGCAGGTGGGTTCCTGGGACTGCTGTGTGCAATTCAAAGTGCTCTTCTATGTATTTGAAAGGGACTAAAGTTTGTTAGTGTAGTGGTGGACTTTACCTGTTTCAAATCTGAACTTTTTGGCACAGGAAATGTGTCAGGTAGACCAAGGAAGACATTTTCGTTTATGCATCTTAATAATTTCAGCTTTTGGTATGCAGTCATTTTGTTGTATTTAACTTCCGTCTCCTTTTTTAAAAAACGTCTGAGCAATTAATGTAGGGCAAATACTTCTTTAAAGTGTTTCCCCTCCTCTTACTTTAAATATATACTCCTCTTCCTCTCTTTCTGAATCCAAATTAACCTCATGTAGCATCTATCAGAATCTACAATGAGAAATGGATTAGTGACAGCCAAGGGAATTTTCAGAGACTGGATGCCTCCTTTCTAGTTTGCAACTCTAGGCTTTGGGGAGCAACATACTTTTTGAACTTGCACTGTTAAAGCTTTTATTTTTTTCAGTTCCTTTAAGGTTAAGGCAATAAAAGATGTTCACGATCTTTAGTGGACTACACATGCTTGATGGGTGAATGAATGAGGTGAAGTTTGCAGGTTTCTCATATGACTGTGTATCTTGCATGTTAAATACAGGATCATATTTTCATTTTGGTTCTGATTGCCAGTGTGGTATCTCTTCTTCTGCAGATACGAGTGACAAAACTTTGCTGAAAACAACATGCAATGTCTCTATAAACCAATCTTACTGATTTTTCTCTGGCACCTTCTGTATCTTATATATTGAAGTGATTTTTCACTTCTGTGAAAACACTTAGGGTTTCCTGGTGAAATCTTTAACCTTATTTCACACTCATAAACTGTGAAATAGATCCCATGATATGCCTTTATCTCAGGTAGTACTATATAGGAATGGAAAGCCTACTCAAGAGTAAAACTGCCTTATTTAGCATCTTGTGTATCACTGTGCGGGTAACATACTTGTTGATTTTTGACATGAAACTCAATAGGAGAAGGATTTGGATTCTTCTGCTGGTTAATTTCTGGTAAAAATAAAAATGAGATTAGGAAAATAAAACTCAAGGCAAGAATCAACTTTCTTCTTACCTGGTGAATCGTAACTCTGTTAGTTCTAGAAATTGTTATATCACTCAAGTGTGAGGCAGTTGAAGGTGAGATCTGACACAAATCCTGATTACATTGCCAGTAGTGCTGTAACTCTATTTCTTGCTTGTTTTTGCTATGTGCTTGCTAACTTCTTACTTTCAGTTCCAAAGCTGATTTATTTTTTTTTTCCCCTGCTTTGAAGTGTTTTGACCTGGAGTCAGAAGCACCTTCAGATTTACAGGAAGTCGTTGGCAATGTGGATGAAATTCTTGAAAAGCTTGAGTTTGCTATTTGTGAAGAACTGGATACTGACTTTAATGTAAAGTTCTAATCATACCTCCTTGTGTCATGAATTCTGTATATAATGTATACTATTTATTTCAGTTTAAATCTTTTCTTAATGTATCAGATGAGTTTATTTGCTACAAGACAGCTTTTTTTTAAATGGAAATGTAATGAAGTCACTCAAGTTGGTTCCCAGAGAGAACTGAATGTGTTTTCTAGGCAACAGAAAGAGGACAGCTTTGGATTACAGGAACTTAGCTGTATGTATAACTGGCTTAAATAAGAAATACTGGGAAAACTATTTCTTCTCTCTCTGTGCAGAGAAGCTTTCTTTGAGGTGTACTGAGTTTCTTGTCTTGAAAATACAGGTGATGAAAAGTAAGTTTTTGTTTAAAATAATGAGATTGCCTCTCTGAATGTGTAAGGATAAATTTATTTTTTCCAGTCTTAGGAGATGAATAGTTTTTCATTATTTTCATTTTGCATGGGACGAGTGTTCTTGTCTTACTGGTGATCTTCTTTGTGCTTGTGTTAGCCTTTTCCCCAGTTTTATACCTTTTCTGATAAGCATTTCTTCCCTTCTCTTTTGCTAACTCTTTGAGGTACCTTCATTGTCTCTGCAATGAGAGTGCCTGCTGTGCCAGAGAGTGGTCATGTCAGCACAAGTTGAACCTGTCCTCTCATGTAGCATCATACTAAAATCAGCCCAGTAGTTTGTTTGCGACTCTGTGATAAAGCCAGTGACTCTTTTAGAAGAATGGTTGCATGCTTTAATGCTTCGTATCTATTAAACCATGCTGTCCTTTAAAATAATCCTGTCATAGCATGTGGAATATGAAATTGAACTTCTGCATAGAAGTGCCAATCAGTTTTATTCTATTGAAAGTATTGGATGAACTCTTAGGCTTGCAAACTTCCCTTTCAGAATCCCTTTAAGAAGGGAGAGGAAAATGTGAGGAATTATTTTTTTCCACTAACATTGGAATTTTTCAGTAAAGGCTTTACATCCTAAGTGTTGGTATGTATAAATGAAGAACAACTCTCAGTCTTTAATCTCACTCTGTGTAATTCAATCCAGGACCATGACGAAGCAGAGAAGGGAATAATTATGGGTGCTTACAATAAAGTTATGCATAGCACTCGTCAGGAGCAAAGCATGATTGCTGTCATACAGAACAGATACTTGGCCAGTGTTGAGGTAAGTTTATGCTTTACTTATTTCTGTCATGTTGATCTATAATAGTAACCCTTTCTGACAATTTCTTTTTGAAAGATGTCCCCTTATCTTTTTATAAGGAAGTTCTAGGAGTATATTGGTGATGAGAGATTGGTTGAGAACTGCAGTTGTGTATTACCTCAGGCAATGCCTCATTTCAGTTAAATACAAAGATATTTTTTTAAAAAATGGAACAGTGGAAGCTGGAATCTCTGGATTCATAAAAATCAGTAGTATGCAACTTAAGGGGACTGAGCTTTAGGTAGAATGTTGATTTTCCAGAAGGTTGTTAATGTAATTAAAATGAACCACAATAAAAACCCTGTTCTGTGAGGAAAGACCCTGAAAAGCTGAATTTGAATAGGCTTCAGGCCTTTTCTCTATTGCGTTGGACTGAAGCATATTAAACTAGAATGCTTGAACACTTTCTGATCCTATTTGTTTTCTTTTCCTCCTAGTTCAAAAAGCAGACTGAGGAATGGCTGAACAGAAGACCTGATATTAGCAACCTTTTATCGATTAGGAAAACTCTGAAAAGCTTAAAGGCCCAGTTAAGGTGGAAGCTGGTTGAAAAGAACAACCTGGAGGAAGTATGAAAATGTTAGTGTTGGTGGTTTTGTCTGTTGTTTTTAAAATTGGTTTAGAAAAATTAATTTTGCCTATTGCAAGTAAGTGGTAACTACATAGAGCGGTTTGTGTTTTCTGGCCTGCATTTTGCCTTTAACTGTGAAGTTTTACAGGCCCCAGAGACCAAGCCTGCATGGTGTATATAGCCACTTTTCTGTTTTGGTCCCCAGCCGTGGCACTGTGCTTTTAACCAGTTCCCTCTGGTGCCAGTTGCTGTTCACAGCATGAGTGGTTTTGCCCACTTCTTTTTACTGTGCTGGTTGTGTGATTACTTTAAGATTTTACTTTGTTAGTAATGTGTGTACCTACTCTTTGGTGACAGAAGTCAGTATCTGTTCTAGTTTTCAGGGTTCCCTGCTACCCTTCAGAGAAGTCCAAAGAATGTAAATATTAGCCCAGCTTCAGTGCTGTTTGTTTGATTGCACATTAATTATTTTAGTGATGTTTAAGGAAATAAAAGAACCTGCATGTGTCTCTCTGTAAAAATTGTAAAGGGGCAGTAAGCTTCCTAGAGGGATTTAAAATGAGACACACTAATGAAACCCATTGGGAAAAGGATTCTTGAATAATGAGGTGACATGAGGAAATTGCCTGCTTAGGGGGGGAAAGAAGCGAATGAATTATGGAACCTGGCATTGGTGGTAGATGTTGCTGTTATGGTTGTATGTGATCAGCTAATTAAAACCAAAAAATGCTCTTTGACTTTGGAAACAAGTAGGCAAAGGGCTAGAACATTGGTTCTGTCATACAAATAAAGGAAACGCCTTTCTCAGTGATTAGGTTTTAAGAGATTTTCTTGGGTTTCAAGGAAGGAGACTGAGTGAACTGTGCATTTGAGAATATGTTCAACTCCAGAACGGTGAAATGGAAGCTGTTTTTTAATCCTGATATAGTAGGTTACCATTGTTTGGTATAATAGCAGAATGAGAATTATACACTAACTTTGTTATTTCTAATGCAGTCTGATGATTACAGTGAGTTTGAATGACAGGAATAAAAGAAGAAATAACTGCTCTGCGAAATAGGGTTCTTCAGGAAGTATCCAAGGAACAAGAAGAATATGTAAGTATTAAACTACTTAGGCAACTAAAACAAACCTGTATGAAGTACATCTGCATTTCAGTTGCTTTAATGTGTGCTCTAGGTAAAATGAAAAATGTGATTTTTATAGTCTTATAAAAAGTTAGTTAGGATGGCCCTTTTTTGGTGAAATTTATGGGAGAAGGTGTGGAGGCTGATCAGTTTTATCTCTGTTTGAGCATAGTTTCTTCAGACCTTCTCCCCCTTCACCCTCCATAAGAGGGTGAGGGGAAAAAAAAAGTAAGCTGTAGTTCTCAACTGAGAAGAGCTGCAGGTGAAAGTTGCTGAAGAAACACTGTATTTCTTGCAAGAACTAGAACTGTTTCCTTATGTCAAGGTTGAAACGGGCTTTTATCTTGAAGTGAAGGAGATCACTCTTTCTCTGTGTGGAAGTCCTCTATATGGAGGGAAGAATCAGAAACTTTTGCCTTGTGAGCGAGTAGGAGGGCACGAGGATTTATGGTGGTGATGCACTTACCCTTGCAGACGTAGCATTTGTGTGTAATGTTACCTTAGAGCTGTGCAGGGTCTGGAAACATGCGAGATGCTGGTCTGCGTTACTACTTTATTTCTACCTTTCTCTACTTACCCATAGTGAAATTGTTTTCCTTTAGGCCTACTAAAACCTCCAGTAGAAAAGATGAATGTTTTTCCATGATAGTGCATGAGCCGTCTAACACTACCTACCCTCAGACCTTGCAGAAATCTGTCCATATTGAACTGCTGTATTCGTTTGTGTGTCATGTGTTTTTTTGTTTTGTTATTTTTTAAAAGCAAATGACAGTGTTACTTTGAATGATGTTGTTGAAGGAGGTACATCCATGGTCAATGTACATTTGAATGTCTTGGGTATATGTTGCAAATGTCAATGTGTATTTCTATATGTCAGAAACTGGGACCTGAAGCTGTGGGCCTTGTTTCCTTCATTTAGGGGAAGCTTACATATTTGGTACAGAAATGGTTTCCTGAATTACCACTTCTTTATGCAGAAGCCGGAATTCTAAGCTATATGGTAAGCAGAGATTGTGTCTGAATGCACCGTGTTAGTTATTGTTTTGGGCACTATCAAGGCTCTGCACCAGCAATGCTCTGCACATATTCTGTCCATTTGGAGGATATATACCCTGGGCATTGTTTGTTGTGGTTTTCCTCCTTCTCCCTACCTTCTGGGGGATGTTCAAGGAGTGAATTTCATTAGTTGCTTCATCATGGCCAGCTTCTTGATAACAGATGCTGTAGCTTTTTAACGTGTCCCAGCTGGCTTTATGCTTTACTAAGTTGACTGAGGAAGAGGAGAGGTAGTTGCAGCCTCTGAACCGTACCAGCTGTTAAATGCCGTGCACTTACCCTGGATATCTGTGTGTGTGTGCGTGTGCGTGTGTGCTTCAGAACTCTGGTGGGCTTCTGACACACAGCTTGGAGCGAGACCTTCTCGATGCTGAACCCATGAAGAAACTCAGCACGAAGCGACTTTCAGTGTGTTCAGAAATCTGAGGCCAGAAGGTTCTTTTAAAGGTGATGTTGGCACTGGCTTTGGGTTAGTGCTGCAAGTGGGGCCTTGGCTTATTAACATGCTGATTCTTAATGAACTCTCTTGTTCCTTCCATGTGGCTGTGTTTGACAGCCCTTTTCTTTGTCCAGGGCCTGCAGAACATGAAGCATTGTGTTTTTTCTGGATTGCTTCCATGGTGTTTACTGATTTTATTTTTTTTCCCCCCACTTCTTTTGAGGACTGCTGTAGTGAACAGTGCTTCCCCTCTACTGTCTGTTCTTTCTGGTATCTGGTGGACCTTTTTTCCTGTTCATTGCTCCTGTCTCTTTCTGCACATGCCGGTTTGACTTCCTGATGATTTCACTGAGAAATGTCAGGAACTTCTGCTTTTCACTTGCTTTGCTTCTCTACTAATCTGCTAGCAATTGGGAAACCAGGGGATAATGTATTATGAGAGGCATAGTTGTACATACTATTCTTGCTTTTGACTTGGCTTATTTAAATCTCAAATTAGAGATGTGCTCCTTGTTTTTCGTTGGTACAGACTTTCTAAAAGTTAGTAAGAAAATACGGGAACAGTCTATGATGGTTGGAATTGAGTTTTGTGTTAAATAGAAGAGGAAGTTATTTGATGGCATCTAACTATTCATTTCTTTAATTAAAAATAGTTTAATGCAAAAATGTTAGTCACTAGGAGTAATAGCTTGGATATCTGTTTTGTTTTTAAGGGTTACTCTGTAGATGTAAGCTCAGAAGCCAAAGTGATAGAAAGAGTTGCCAAGTATCACAGAGTCTGGGATCAGCAGAAGGAGAAATCTGGATTATTACAACTGTTGTTCCTTCTTTTCTCTAAGGCAAGATTCAAATTGATGATCTTGATTTCTCATTTAAGATGAAAGACCTGCAGTTGGACCTTAAAGCTTTAACATATTTTAATTTGGAGCATTGAATCAGAAAATTATTTCCTTTCTGAGTTCAGTAAACAGTTTACTTGGTAAACATAATGAATTTCTTTTATCAGGCATCTAGTGCATGTTAAACTTCCAAATATTCCTGATATTTGAAACAATCTGTATTTCCTTTTTTAAGTCTGATCCTTTGGTATATTTAATGGTCCCATACTACCCCGGAGCAAGTCTGGAAGCTGTACAGGCTGATGCACCTTTAACTTCAGAAGTAAGTATAACTGCTCAGACTATCAGCATTTTGTTTTGTATGTTTCTGAACTGAACTCATATTGTTTCGCTGTATGTTGTGGTGCTGATGGTGTTTCGCCAGTGCACTTCCTTCTTTGCCTGCAATGACTGTACAGAGTTGCTCAGTATAGCCTGACTGGCATTCTTGGCATCTGGTCAGGCAGTAGTGGACCTATATGTAAAGTGTCTTGGGCCTATATGTAATGGTCCAAGTTGCATGGTGGTTTTGGGGTTTGTTTTTTTCTCTCCATATTTTTTCATGTTAGTGATTTGTTAATCAGTGACTGCACTTCTTTTGTCTGCCTGGCTGCTTGAGTCATAATAATCTTCCTGGGAATTGATCCATACTTCATAAAATGGAATTGGCATGAACTTCAAATGTGTACAGACCTTAAAAAAGAAAAGGTCTTAGTTCTGGATATAAACTTACTTGATACTGTGTTTTGTTTTTTCCATATCTATCTTTGTAATAAATACCCAAATTAAATCATTAGGAGGCATTAAAAGTGATGAAAGGAGTGGCCCAAGGTCTACAAACGTTGCGTGGAGCTAATATAGTACATGGATCTCTACATGGAAATAATGTTTTTGCTGTGAAACGAAAACAAGGGATCTTTGGAGACTTTGATTTCACAAAATCAGAGGTAAAAAAAAGGTCAAATTATTTATCAAAACAGACAACTGTTTGCAATATAAAGGATTCATTGATAAACATTTTTCTTAGCAGTGAGACTCCTGTTCCATATTCTCAGTAGGGTTCAGTAGTTTGAGTCTTGTTGAAATTTTTGTAAGCACAATCAACCTTGGACAGGACAAAGAGAATTACTGAGGGTGAGCTCTGGTTAAGCAAAACAGTGGAACCAAAAAGAGAAGTTTCAGTAGTTGTTTGTTTGCTGTCTGGTATGTTTAATGGTAATCAGCAGCATCAGAGGTGGAAGTAAGAATTCAGGTTTGAAGAAAGGCTATAGTAAAGCTCGTATGAAGCCTTTGCCTTTGTGCGATAGGTAACAGGCTTCTGTGTGTTTTAATCTGTTGCAGTACTTGGTAAATTAGCAAGTTTTTACATGTTGCCTACATATACCTATATTTACATGTACTTCTGATTTGGACCTCAGTTTCTCTAGTGAAGAGTTTTGTAGTTGTTCTTGGAGAAAATCTAATATCTAAGAACACAAGCTATTTTCTTACTATACATTGTGTACATATAGCAGAGTCTCCAATAATGGTATCTCTTCTGTAGCCAACTTTTGACTTTCTAAACTCAAGTTGAGCTGAAACATTTTTGTTTTAGAGGTCTGCTTCATGCTTGCTTATTTTTTTAATAGCAATGTATATTATAATAATATGTCATTACATTAATATAATAAACATGATTAAACTTAGTTTTATTTATACTGAGAACCCTGCTTTGGAAGTGAATTATCTGATAATCTCCTGAAGCGTCAAATGTTTGGACAGCAAGGTGTGCCCGCCACGAAATAAGTTTTAATTTTCAACATGCTAAAGAGAGATGCTTTAAAACTTTTGACAGCTGAATTTTCTGAAAGGTAACACTCAGTACAGATGGTGTCATTGGTGAAAATTGCAAGAGCTGAGGAAGTCTGTCCGTCTCTTTACTCCTCCCTCCAGGTATGGGCTGTGCTGGAATGAGCAGCCCATGTGTGACAGAGCAGGAAGGTTTCACCCATGGTTCACAGCCTGGATCCACCTTGTGTCTTCTCCATGGTGGTGTCAGCACTGCTCAGTGCGAGTACTTTCTGCATCATCACAAATGCCTGAGCAGAGCTGGTAACTGATGTGTTACCAAGTACTCTGGGCAATCTGGAGACCAGTCTTGTCCAGTCTGGCTGTAGGTGGTGCTGACTGCTGTCACAGAGAGGGCTGGAAACTCAGGATCTAGTTCTTATTTTGACAGTAGACAGTCCTAAAATATGCTGGAAACCAGGAGGGAGGAAGCAGCTAGTTTTGTATAAAGACTAGAAAGGCAGAGAAAGAAGAAAATAGGAAAGCTGGCAGAACTGAACTTTAGAACTAAAGTTGTCCAAAATAGTGCCAAATGTCTTTTAATACTTGTGTTTATTGTTTTTCTCTAATTTGAGAAGTTTTGCAGTTTGTATTCTTTAGCACCTTATGAGCTTTAGTAGTTCTAATATGGAGTAAAATTTGCCGTCGCTGTTCTTCGGTTACAGTTACAGATGATAGATGTATTATCCCTTATCCTTTTTTTTTTTTTTCCTTTATGCACCACTCTTGTTTTTTTTTTTTTTTCTCAGTAAGGGAGGATTTTCCATTTCTGTCTGGGTCAGCACAGAACTCTATTGTTAAGTTGTCTGACCCATTAAAAGGGATAGGGACATACATCTTCTTCAATCGGCTGTCGGTCTTGCTTGAAATTACAGGTGCAATTTTTTTCCCCATAGGAACAGCGTGCTGCTGCAAGCGCTATGGTTGTCAGTACCCTGAGATTAGTTTCTCCTGAACTGAGAATGGGACAGCCCGCTTCTCCAGCCTCTGACATGTATGCTTATGGCTGCCTTCTCTTCTGGGTACGTTATGGCTTGTGGGAGAGTTTCTAGTAATGTTATGGAACTGTAGCAGGCTTATAAAGATCAACAGGTGTTATCTACAACTTCTGTTTTGAACTATATTTTGGCGAAGTATGTGTTCATGTTTTCAACTGAGCAGTGAACGTGGAACGAATGGGAGATACGATCATGGGCAGAAGACTGCATTTTTCTGTAAAATACACAATGTAATTTGGATAGTAATACGAACAAAAAGAATGCTTTTGTTCCTTTTGTTGCAGACTGTCAGTTCTTACTGCACTTCCTATTCATTCCTTTTCTTCTTTTTTTTGTGACGTTGCCCCTGAGGAATCGCCCAAGTCAAAAGAGAGGGAAGGTGAAGGCAAGGATGGTACTGTCAAATGTTTTGTTGTTGGCAACAGTGCTTGAATAGGTGTTTTGTTTCTTAGTGCATTTAATGCCAGGGAAAAGAAAGTCATATACTTTCCTGTGTTAGGTGGTATGTTGCACAGCATCTCCTGCATCTCCTTTTTGTCTTCTCGCACTCTATTGCTGCCTCTCCAGCTTGGGGTGTCAGTGCCATGTGTCCTGAATGGGAAAACCTGAAATGTCCCATAGCTGAAAAGCCACAGGCAACTCAGTAAGTGCTGATGTTCCCAGGCAGTGATTTTATGTGAGCGCCTGGTACATTTGGAACTGGTTCACTGAGTACCAGTTGGAGCTGCAGGTAGCTGAGGGTCTTCTTGGGAAACACTTGTAGGTCCATCAGCTGCACAGTGATGGCTTCACTGATCCCTTCTGTGCCGCAGCATCTTAAAAACACAACAGAGATGTAAACTGCAAGTTGATGAGTAGCCACTGTCAGTTGCCTGTGCTGTGAGGTTGAAGCCGGTTCATGTAAAAGTCAGTCTTGATTACGCTTTATTCCCAATTTAGGAAGCAGTTCTTAATTTTAAGTAATTTTTATCCTGAAATAGGTGAACTAAAGTGTAGCTTAATACCATAATTTTTTATGATTTCTTAATGTGGTATGGTTTAGTTAGATCATTTTCAGTACCACTCTTCAGATCTTCATCTGTTCTAGAAAAAAGGTTTTTAAAAGTGATTTTAAAAAACCAGCCAGCCATCCAAAAAAAACCCACTTCAGAAGTCAGTTTTACAAATGGTTGGCTCTGATGGAAAAGAATATCTGGAATGCAGGAAGATCAGCATTCTTCTGAAACCTCATCCATGTTTGCCAGCTGAATTTCACATTAATCCGCATGTGACTTATCTTCAGTTTGGACTTGGGGTTGTAATGATAATTTGGTAAAACATTCTGGCTCAAGTGTTAGTGTTATGTTCAACAGTTTCCAGTTTCATGTCATGCATCTGAAGTTGTGTTCTCCCTCATTAAACAGCAGTGCCACTTCCAAAATTGAGACTGGCTTTCCGAGTTTCTGTTGATCTGTGCCACAAGAGCCCAGCACTGACCAAGCGCACACGCTTCCTTTTGCTGTCCATGTAGTAGTTCAGATTAGAGGCATTTTCAGCTTAACCTACAGGCAGGGTTTTGAAAAATGCTGTGTTTGGGCATGTTTCTAAGTGATAGTAAAGACTGGGGAAACTTTACTTTGTTTACAGGTACAGGGTTCACGTTTGTCTGTTAGTATGCACTTACCCCATAGCATTTCTCAAAGAGGATTATACAATTGAATGTACAGCTTGGGAATGGACTTCGAGTCATGTTTTTAAAAGTCTATTTCTTTTGACCTCTAAAAGCTTCTCCTGATACTAATTTTTTTCCCTTGTTTCTGCGTAAGGGGAACTCGATCCCCTTTCATGCTGTACCCCACTGTGAAATCAGGAAAAAAAGCCTTTCCGTTCCATTTTCCTGTAAAAATCCATTTTCACTTGAAGCTTGGAATCTCCTTGACTGATGTTTGGTTTATTAAACTAAAGGGAAAAAACCCACCAGTGTTATGCATTATGTATCTTTTCTTTTACAGCTTTGCGTGCAAAACCAGGAGTTTGGCATAAAAGAAGATGGAACACCTGAGGTGGAGGTGGTTGCCATGGTATGTTAATTGTCAGATGAGGAAGATTAGACTGCTCTTGTTTAGAGGAGGTTATTTGATCTTTCTTGAAAAATCAAACATTTCATTTTAAGTGCTGGGTTGAGAAAGTGTTCTTAATCGACTGTTTGGATAATTCTAAATAGCATGCACAAATAAACCATTTTTTGATAACGTAGAAAACCCTGGAGTTTGCTTAATATTTAACTCTGACCTCAGGAGAAGCAGATTCTTCACAGGTAACTGTTAATTGAATGACACTGAGTTACAGACTTGGGGAATAAGTCATTGAGATTTAGGCTCAAAGAAGGTGTTTGAATGAGGAACCTATCTTTTTTGAAGACAAGGAAGTTGACTTTGTTCATCTGTCTTCCTACATAATGCTTCTTACATTGCTAATCTAAATTCTAATTTAGTCAGTTAAATGAAGTTGTAAAAGTGTATATTGTGCCCTTTATTCTTTCGTGGCTGGTTTTTTTGTGTTAAACAAACTTTCCTATGCCTCTGAAACAAATTCATGGATACAAGCGGACCCTGCATGATGGAAATGTGTTGCTGCGTTCATTCTTTCTGCTCTCAACCGTTGTTCTCTGTCTACTGTATGCCAGCAACTGTTGTCACCTTGAACTCTATTTTCAGTCCCTTTTTCGAAGCTCAGCCTTGTCCAGTGTCTCAGTGACTCTTTGAGAATAAAAAGTAGATCTGTGTGCCTTCATGTTTCCCAACTTAGGTATCCAACTTTGAAGTAAATCGTTTTCTTACTTACCTGTCTCTTGGATGTTAATCATAAGCAGATAATTTTATGACCTATCTGTGTGCCTAAGTTACCTGAGCGCTTGTCTTTCCTTGGGTTTATTTTGTTGTGTAACCCTCTTTCCCATAAGCTTTCAGCCTTCTGGCCAGGAGTTAAGACCTTTTTTCTTGCCTGCTTTCAGTCTCTTCTACCTTTGCTACAGGCAATTCCTTTTCTTTCTTATAAAAGTTGGAATAGCAAAAGACATGCCACCATATATAGTTGAAAGAAATTCACTGTGATGTTTATGGACCTTTTCCAAATCGTTAGCCTTTCCAGATGAGTTTCTGCTTCATACTTCTTGCTGTACTTCTGCCTGTGTAGTTACTGACTGCCTTGTTCTTGGCCTTTGTCCCTCCCATGCCCATTGAGTGGATTGCCCTTGTGTTTTCTCATCTGCATGGACTACTTCTGCGTGGTCTGAGGGGATTGAAGAAATATTTCA